GGGTGAGCGCCGGGTGTGGGTCGTGGGTGGGGGGGGGGGGGGGGGGGGGGGACTGCGCTCTGTGAAGTCGGCGGGGCCAAGCTGACAAAAGTGCTGGCCTGTCACATTTCAGATCGCGGGTCTTTCCTGCCTTTCCTGTCTGCTTTGTGTGAGCTGCGCCGGCTTGGGGAACCCTGAGCCTCCCGACGACTGGAGTAGCAGCGGCGGCGCTTGACTTGTCCTACCTTGGCGCTCACAGGATGACTTTGGTGGACAGAAAAAGCATCTCTGTTCTCGACCAAATCGGTTTTCGACCAAAAAGTGTCGTTTGGCAAGGCCGTTAGCATTAAGCTAGCAGAAGGAAAATTTGTCTGGTTGTTTTCAACGTCCAATGCGGCCTTCATTCTCTTCGTTTGATGTTTAGTTTGACAGTCAACTTCCACCTTGGCGTGCCGAGTGGAAGTTGACAATCTTTTTGAACGCCATCTGCCAAAGCGCTGCTTGTTATGACGGCGGTCGAGCACACCGCCCGCGTAGCGCTCGTACCGTCCATTTTGCCACGACTGCAAGAATAACAACAGGTGATGAATGAAGTACTTGTAGTTGCGAGGTCGTTTTTGCCGCCCGTAATTTTACTGGAGTGGAGTGGGCGAGGACAACGAGCCACGGTGACTCATGCCGCCCGCCGTCTGCATCCCCAACAAGCCCGCCTGCCCGGCTCCGAAGCGACCTCGCGCCAGCTGACAAACAGCAGACGAGCCGACCGAGCGGGGACGGCGCCCCCCCCCCCACCTTCCTCCCGCCCCCGCGTGCGGCTAACAAACAAAACGCGAGGGAACGAGAACGGGACTGACGCGAGCGTCTTGCCGCCGCCGCCGCATGACACTCCCGTGGCGCTGCCGTGCCCTCCGGACGACCTCCAAGAGCCTGTGCCCCTCCGCATCACACTCGGCTGTCTGCTGCCCCCACCCACCGTCTTCAGAAATTCATGTATAAACCCCCTCCTGCCGCCTCATTTTAAAATTGCAAAAATAAACCCCCCCCCCCAAAAAAAGGAAAATAAACGGCTGATTTTTCATATTTGCATTTTAGGCTGTGATCGTAATCTTTCATTGGTTGCGTTTTTGGAAGTTTGGTCAGGAGTAATTGAAGATGTGTTAGCTTGTTAGCCACCGAGGGGACACCCTCAACTGGTCGCCAGCCAATCGCAGGGCACACATCGACTTAGACAAGCCGAGGAGGATTTGGGGAGTGTCCAATCAAGCCGGCGTGCATCTTTTGGGAATGTGGGAGGAAAGCGGCACACCCTGGAGAAAAGCCAGGCGGTTGAAACCTTGCGCGACGCATACTCGTTTGATTGATTGATTGATTGATTTTTTTCCCGCGATATCATGCGGCCCTCCGACATCTTGATTCATCTCGTCGGCAGCGGCCGGGATCAAAAGCGAGGGGGCGGACATCCAGCCGGCTGCGGCTCCACCAAAACCTCGCCCCCCCCCC